CCATATGAATTTCAGGATCAGCTTGTTGATTTCTACAAAGGTCTCTCAAAGCCTTCTATAGTTAGAAGGGGAACTCTAGACCTAGATTCAAATCCTGCTTCTAGTACTTACAGATGTTTGATATGAGGTTACATTACTTCACTCTTCTAAGCCTGTTTCCTAAAGTGTAAAATGAGGCAATTTTGATACATTTGCTATTCACTTGGGCCTTTTTTCATTGATGAAAACCCAACCAACACTGGCTTAGACAAAAAAGAATTTTTGGCTCATACAACTTCAAAGTCCAGGGATAAGGCTAGTCTTATGAAGGATCTGATGCAGAACTCTTATTACCAGGAAGCAGTTTTTCTCTTATTTCTCAACCTGGCTGCTCCTCTTTATCTATTGCATATACCTTTGTATTTCTCTTCTTACAGTAAAGTGGGTGCTTAACAAATATTTGTTAGTTGGATGAATAAAATATGTCTTAAGCATCTACAGAACTTAAACATCCTCAGCATTAAATCCAGAGGAATCCTCCCTCTCCAAGATTCCAAGCAAGTCTCATTTATTGGCTCCAATTAGATCACGTGCCCGATGAAACATTCTTGAAAATACATTAAGGGAAGAAAGCAAAATGCAGGAATTATGTACACAATTTGCTAACAATTGTTTTAAAAAGGGCAAAAAAAAGTGTGTATGTATATGCACAGATTATCTCTAGGATAATCAAAAACACTGGTCGCCTCTGGGGGCGAGAACTAGATCACTGGGAGAGGTTTTTCATTATATATCCTTTCTACCTTTGAACCATATAAATTACCTATACAAAAAAATTAAATGAACATTTTAAATGTAGTTGCCAAAACACACAGTGGTCCCCCTTGTGTATTGGTTGCGGCAGTCAGGGTTAAAAAGCACAAGTCAAAGGGGTTATAAGTCCCATTTACCAGAGTGCAAAGAAGGAAGGGAGCAAGGGCAACTGTCATGATGTTTTAAAGGAGTAAGTAACCTGTCCTCTCAGAGTGTTTACTCATCAATTGTAAAGAACCTCAGTTTTCCCACCCTCCCGTCCCCCAATCTCAGTTCCATTCTCTACCACCTAGGTGGTCAAAAAGATACAGTCCTAACTATGCTTGTTCTTATTGAACAGGGGTCGGGGAGCTGGCTTCTTGCTTTCACTGGCTCATAACATTGCTGTCCTACTTTCTAAAAACAAACAAAAAATCCTGCTAAAAACAAACAAAAAACCACTATAAAGGCACAAAGTTGACCACATATACAAAGAGAAGAGGCTAGATTGCTTTGTCCCACAGCTGTTTATGGTTATCTGATGTAAATGAAGGCTTTCGATATCCCATAAAGACATCAAAGCAATGCTTTCAACAAACAAAATTAAGTGTTCCCTGTCACTCATGTTTTACCTGTAGGTAAATACAATCTAACAGGATTTACCTTCCCTTCATTCTACAACCCAGAGCCCAGGAATAAAAGATATCTTTGAATGAAAGGGCATATACCTACTTTGAGCTTTGATTAATATTCTGCTTTCCTCTCTGGCATTTTCAATTGGCCTTTGATTTTCCATAAGTATGTATGTATTTAAAGCCACTGAGACTAAAAATTCAGAAGTTTGTGTGTACAGAGCACAATTTAAAAAAATCTAACACAGGGCCACAGCACAGAATTTTGCTGGAAGGACTCCAGCTGGCTTCTCCACTGCAATTGATAAGTGATTTGTTTACGAAAATGCTGCTTGGCTAAAAATTTGCTCTTTAATACAAGGAATGAGGATGATCCTGGTCAAATGCCAAATCAAATCCCATATTTCCAATTTTGAGACTAGGACACAATGTACCTTTCCTTTTGAGGAGAACTTTATTTTCAAGCCCTACTGTTGATGTATATCACTCAAAATGCTGCAAGACTAACAATAAACAGTCTGAAAGAGAAATTACAAAAATAATTCCATTTAAAACAGCAAAAACAAACAAACAAAAACAAAAAACAAACCCACACAACCAACCAACTTAGGAATTAACCTAACCAAATAGGTGAAAGACTTGTACAATGAAAACTACAAAACACTACTGAAAGAAATTAAAGACGTAAATGAAAGCTATCCTATGTTCATGGCTTGAGACTTATTAAGACATCAATATAACTCAAAGTGATCTACAGATTCAATTCAATCTCTATCAAAAGTCCATTATTTTTTGAAGAAACAAAAAACCCATCCTAAAATTTGCATAGAAACTCATATAGAAACTGAATAGCCAAGAGTCTTGAAAGGAACAAAGCTGGGGGAATCACACTTCCTGATTTTAAAACTTACTACTAAGTTACAGTAATCAAAACAGTGTGGAACTGGCATAAAGACAGACATATGGACTAGCAGAATAGAATACAGAAATAAACCTTCACACATATGGCCAAATAATTTTTAACAAGAGTACTAAGACTATTATGAGGAAAACAGTCTTTTCAACAAATGGTGCTGCAAATCTGGATATCTAAATGCAAAATAATGAAGTTGGACCCTTACCTAACACTATATTAAAAATATTTACTCAAAATAAATCCATGACCTAAAACTATAAAACTTAGAAAACATAGGGCAAAAGCTTCACAACACTAAACACTGATGTCTTGGATATGACATCAATGGCAAAAACGACAAAAGACAAACTGGACTTCATAAAAAACTTAAAAATTTTCTACATCTAAAGACACTATCAGCAGAGTAAAAAGTCACCTTACAGAAGGGAAGAAAAAACTTGCAAATCATATACATCATGCACCACTTAACAAGGATTATGTTTTGAGAAATGCGTCATTATGTGATTTTGTCATTGTGCGAACATTATGGAGTGCACTTACACAAACCTAGATGGTACAGCCTACTACACACCTAGGCTACATGGTATAGCCTATGGCTCCTATGCTATAAATCTATACAGCATTTGTACAGATCTATACTGTACTGAATGCTTTAGGCAACAGTAACATAATGATAAGTATTTGTGCATCTAAACATATCTAAACATAGAAAAGGTACAGGAAAAATATCATACAGAAACTAAAAAATGATACATCCTTAGAGAGCACTTACCACAAATGGAGCTTGCAGACTGGAAGTTGTTCTGGTGAGTCAGTGAGTGGTGAGTGGATCTGAAAGCTGAGGACATTACTGTACACTACTATAGACTTTATAGACTTTATAAACAGTGTACACTTAGGTTGTTACAGTAAATATATAAATCAACACGAGATTAAATCAAACATAAGAGAAAATGATGTAAACAAGAGATGCAGTAAACATGATACATGAGGTTGCTGCCAGCATAACATGGCACTCTGTTAAACAGCAAACATTTTTTTAGGAGTATGCTCTAAATAATAAAAAGTAAATACATAAATAACAGTCATTTATTATCAACTATTAGATATTGTGCATAATTATATGTACTATACTTTTATGATTGTCAGCTCAGGTTTGTTTATACCAGGTTTGTTGTTATGTTACAATGGCTACAATGTCACTAGGTGATAGGAATTTTTCAGCTCCATTATAATCTTATGAAACCATCCTTGTATATGTGGTCTGTTGTTGACTCTATCTGATAAAGAATCAATACCCCAAATATGTAGAGAACTCCTAAAACTCAACAACTAAACTAGATTCAAAAATAGGCAAAGGACTTGAAGATATTTATCCAAACAAATTAAGCAAATAGGCAACAAGCACATGAAAAGATGCAACACTAATCATTAGGAAATCAAAACTGCAATGAAATATCATGTCACTTCCATTAGATGATTATTAAAAAAAACAAACAGAAAATAACAAGTGTTGGTGAGGATGTAGAGAAATTGGAACATTGTGTAATTTCAGTGGGGATGTAAAATGGTATAACCACTGTGGAAAACAGTATAGCAGTTTCTTAAAAAACTAAAAATAGAATTACCTTATATCAGGCAATTCTACTTCTGGGTATATATTCAAAAGAATAAAAAGCAGGGTCTCAAGGAGATATTTGTACACCAATATTCATAGCAGCATCATTCACAATAGCTAAAACATGGAAGCAACCAAAGCATCCATCAAGAGAAGAATGGATAAGCAAAATGTGGCATACACATACAAAAGGATATATTCAGCCTTGAAAGGAAATTCTGACACGTTATGACATGGATGAACCTTGAAGATATCATGCTAAGTGAGAAAAGCCAGTCACAAAAAGAGAAACACTGTATGATTCCACTCATATGAAGTACTTAAGGGTAGTCAAAATCAGAGAGATAGAAGATGGAAAAATGGCTGCCAGGAACTGGAGGGGAGAATGGGAAGTTTTTGTTTAATGGGCAGTTTCAGTTTTCCAGTAGAAAGAGATGGATGGCAGTGGTTGCACAACAACGTGAATGTACTTAATGCCACTGAACCAGACACTTAAATGTGGTTAATAAATTTTGTTATATTTTACCATAATAACAAAAGTTGGAAAAAAAATGCTGCAGGATATGAGGTTTCAATTACATTCTCGACACATATTAATTTTCTAAGGTTTATACCTTTCCTTCTACATCCGGACTTTTCTTTTAAGCACGTTTCTAAATGTGACAGCTAAAAGTACTAATAAATATACCACTGAGGTAAGATAGCAAATTGAAACAATGGCAGTGCTTCTTCAAAATTATCTGAACTGGACATCTGCTTAGCCTTACAGTTAGACTTCACAGACTTTATAGTAAACACACAACCACCGTCTCTGCTGCTTCTCCCTCTCGGCCCATCTGTACTTCATGGAAAATAAACCAGAATCAAAGCATTAAAGAACACTGTAACTTCTTAAGTTGAGTTACCATTTTTAAAGTACCTCATACATATTAAGCATTCATTAAATTTTACTTATTATTCCCTAGATGCTAATTTTTAAGGCATAGGTAGAGGCATTTTTCCAAACTTAAAAATTGGTTGCAATCTGTTATAGAAAAGTATGATCCGGAGAAAATAGAACAAATAGAATGAAGCAATCCTTTATTTTTAGACACTTTAACAAAGAGGTTGTCAGTATGTTAACTTTCCAGTGGAGAAGAATAAACAAGAAAATCAGCCCCAGCCATCAGCAGCTGCTCTGCTCAGAGCTTAGAATCTTCCTTCCCCAAGTGGTGGGGTGGAGGCGTGTACTTTCCCTCCTTTATTAGCTTATCCCGTTGCTTCAAGATGGCGCTCAGACGTTTCATCTGCCAAAGGAAAAAAGTATTTAAACGAGGGGAAGATATGCACCAGAGAGTGAGCACTGGAGAAACTGAATGAAAATTGGTTTCATTTTTAAACTATAGAAGCTTTTCATCCTAGAGGGCCTCTGAGATGAAACTCAGAGTCTTTAAAGAGCTAACTTTAAATCATGTCTCGAGCTTTTAACTAATAAATTTCTGGTATATATAATATCTCCCTGAAAACTAATAACGAAAATGCTCCTGTTATATATAGGAATACAGTATTTACAAAAACAATAACGAATAGATACAGGTCCAAAACCTTCAAGAGGGAAACTTGTGCACAGTAAAATCTTTTAAAATATGAAAAGCTGAGATCATCTCACAGCATATGTATTCCTGACTTCTCTATGTGAAGGTGGCACTGCTGCTGGTGACTGTTCAGCGGGTATGAATGATGCAGAAATAGACAATATAAAGTCTCTTTTTATCACATTGAAATAAAAGACCTGATATGTGCTCAGCTACTAGTCATTACTAGTTGAGCCCTGAGTTCTGCTTCATCACCACACTGCCTCCTCTCGGTGTAAATTTTCCTTGAGTAAAGTCTTAATCTGAGCAAGAAATAACAGGTTTGCAAGAAGAGAAGTTAAGACATGTTGTGAACTAAATAGCTGGTGGGTGGCCAACCATGACCCATTCACTGTCCTATAATATACACTACACTATAATATTACTCACTTAGTAATCAATATTCCTGCAGAGATCAATACAAAATTATTACCTGACACTCTCTCATTCTTTCCAAGTTTGGCTTCACTTTATCCAAATGCCAATAGCAGATGTTAAAAGATAAGAAATTTTAAATTTTGATACAGTTAACTTTGTGATCAATTTAACTGAAAATCTAAATTGTCTTCCTAAACTCTAAGGAATTAGGAGTAACAGAAACATTTCTATTTGTTATATCTGGAGCACAGAAATAGGTAAAACGACAGTCCACATCCAAAACTTTTTCTAAGGGAGAACAGGGCCCTAGATATTAGGCAACTCACTCAACCCTTTAGGAGGCAGACACCATGCTGTTAGTATTCTCTCTTTCCCCTGCATTTTTGGTTAGGCTCACCTAAAGCAATCACATTAACACCTCCATCTTCCCCAGAGTAGAAATGAATCTAGAGATTGTTATATCAGGTTCAGTTCAAGAGACCTGCCAGGTTTTAACCTCTTACCCAATGAGGGTTCACTGAATTTGAAAGATTTTTACCCAAAGATTTTCAAAGACAAATATCCAAGACTGGTTGATATTCTTTGCTTTATGGCCTACTGCAAAGTAGAAAGAGACACATGTAATTTCTAATCCGATGGCTACAGCAAGGTACAATGCTAAGGAAAATATGTGAGATGAAGAAGGACACTAAGAACAGGTCCTCCTCAGATCTGAAGGCATTTGACTTCCTTGACATGGTATCTAAGTAGAGGCGTTTCACCACAAAAGTCTTGCCAATTCACACTGGGCAAGTCACTACCCAATGACCAATTAAAAACACTGAAAATAGCCCCAAAGAAATAAGGAAGTAATTCAGCTCTCATCTCCATCACTCCCTCACCGTTTTCTGCCGAAGCAGACATTCTACAAAATCATCATATTCTAGCTTGCACTCTTTCTCCGCACGGATAAAACCGATTCCATGTGCACATTCTATCCATTCTTTTTCAAAAGCATGGCACCGAGATGAAAGCTTGTGAGGCTGCTCAGCACTTTGGATTGACATCCAGCGGTCTAAGTCAACGCCCAGCCTTTTCTGTATATCAAAGAAAGGCATGGCTGAAATGGAAGATAAAAAAGATATAATGTCAAAAAAGTGCAATTGAATGAGAAATTTCTAAGTAAAATGAAATAATTATGAAAAATAGCCCTCTAGAAAGATACTTTACACTATTCTCCCAATTTCTTTTCACCATTTTTTCATTAGATTCTTCAATTTATGGTAGATAAATAATTTCTGTGCTTTCACGAAACCCAAGGAAAAGAAAACTAGAACTAAAAAACGATGTATAAAAATCCTCTCTTATTGAGTCATTTTTATCAAAGTCAAAAAGTTTGTTTTGATTCAATAATCCCAATTCTTTCAGACAGATCTGAAGAAATATCTGATAAGAAAAAAGCATAAGCATAGAAACATTTTATATTATTCATTATCACTTAAATGACTCCTCTCCCGAAAAGCCATCCTGACACTAGTGTCCCTTCTCCTGATAGTATATCATTCTCAACTTCCCAGAGGAGTGCTTTGTATGCCACTGTAATGGACTATTTACCTGAATGTCTCTCCTACTGGACAATAAATGCTGCAAGGGCAGGGACCAGGTAGGGATTCAGTAATTGCCTGTTGAAAAAAATTAATTTCAAATAACTTGAGTGTGCAACAATAAACGGATAATTAAACCCAGTATCTACTAAGTAGAAAATGATAGATATTGGGGGAAAAAGATAACATACATGGAACATACATTTTAATATCAAATGAAGAAAAGGACTACAAAATAATGCCAAAGAAAAACTGTCTGAAAAAGAAGACTAGAAGGAAGCACACACAAAAATGCCAATACAGCTATGTATGATTGGTAGATTTACAGGTGAATTCATTCCTTCAGTGATTTACTGAGTAATAACGTTTCAGGCACTGGGATGGAAGCAGCAGCTGCAATGTAAGTGCTAGGATAAGATACACAGCGAATTGGGAATCCCAAGGAAGGAACACAACACCAACTCTGCCCAGGAAACTTGAAAATGCCTTTTAAGATGGGTTGAATCTGCCAAGTGAAGATCAGTGGGCAGAGTATTCCAGTAGGGCACAGCACGAGTTACAGCCGGAGGTGCTGGGTATGTCCGGGGGACACTAAGGACCCAAACGTAGCTGGAGCGCAGAGTGCAAGTCGGGGAGAACGAAATGAGCTGAAGCGGTGGGTAGGGCAGAAATCACGCAGGGCCTTGAAAGCCGGGACAAGGAGCGTAGGCTTCAGGTCAAGGAACAGAATGCCAACGCAATAGTCCCGCAGAAATCTAAGTTACCCTGGAAAGGTGCGGTCTACAGGCTTTGGTGACGTTGGCTGTGTGGACAAAGGAACCTGGGAAAGCGGAAAATACGCCCCGAGCTCGGGCCAGGGAGAATGGACACCCAGCAAGCCAAGAGGAAATTAGTTAAAGATATCGCGGAAGAAAGCTCCGCAAGCTAAATTACCCCGCAGACATATGCAGGCCCTACCGTCCACCTCCGGTGCCCTTGCCTCCTCGCTGGCCGCCGATAGGGGATGATCTACTTGGGACACCGAGAGCTGCCGCAAAGAAGGTCCGCCGCGCGACGCTTGCAGCGCGACTCCGGGAGTAGACCTTCCTTCCGCCGTCTCGCCCCGGAAACCATAGGAACCAAGTCCGTCGATCTGCGTCTGCGCGGTTGCGTGCGTTGACCTCTGGAGACATTGACTGTGTGGATAAACTGACCTTCCCTAAAAAGCTGGGTTAGAGGCGGCCGAGTGGTTATTCAGTTCCTGTTGACTCCTCGCGCTGTGCCTAGCACTCTCGCGACAGCTTTGACTCGTGAGAGACTTGACGAAAGCCACACGAGATAAAAAAGTGTCCCCTCCGCCTCTCCAAGCGAGGTTAAGCTCATGTACTGTGGGCCCACCACGCAGGGTGGGTTCACATTCTGGCTTCGCCACTTGTGTCTGACCCTGGGAACGTTTCTTAACCTCACTATGCCTGTTTCCTTAAGATAAAAATATTCTCTTAAAGGTATTAATAATACCTACAGCGTAAGGTTGCTTTGGGGATTAAATAAATGCTATGTAAAGCAGAGGCGGTTCCTGGAACGTGGAAAGCATTCTAAGGCAATCTTAGTTCCCTGATGTCTCAGCTTCTCAAGTTCGCGGATTCGTCAAAGTCGACAAACACCATGACCCTCCTGTTTCAAAACCTCCAGTGGCTCCCTTTAACTACAGCTCCCCCGCCCTCCCCGCACCCCGCCCCCTTCCCCCGGCAAGTGGAGTGTATGTATTAGTACCATAGGGTGTGTGCGATGATACATTGCAGGTGTGGGAAGAAGATACTGGAATATCTTTAACCTTTTTTAATTGCCATTTTTATGTTTATAAAGTGCATTACATCACTGCAGTTGTATATATAACTTGTAAATATCTATTTGGAGGTTGAGCAAGAAATTTTTCAAGTGATGTGCTCCTAAAATGGTTTAGAGAAGTCCAACCTTCCAATCCTTTCCAACCTCATGGTCCATAATCCCCTGCCTAATGCCCCAACCAGGAGGTCGGTTGTTCCAATGTATTACAGTAAAAGTCCTGCCATCCAGTCTCCTTGATTCCCCCCTGCCCCCACTCCTTTGGAATGACGCCATTTCCACACCATCTCCATTTTTGCATGCCAAATTTCTGTGTCAGTATGGGTGTGAGGGATGTCGGTATAAGGTCTTCCTCTACCACAAATTTTGGGAAACTACAATCTCCAGAAACCCCATCCCTGACTGAGCCTGCACTGTTGCTATGGTGATCACACCAGCCCTTTTGGATTGCATTTACTGTGATGTAACTCAACCTTACAGGAGGGTTGTTGCCCCCTTCTCCTCTACTCCCTTTTTCCCCTTTACCTTCCCACTGTTTTGCAGATTCTTTGCTTCGTGGAAGTGTGATTTTACAACAAAATTAAAGGATTTTATGCACAGGGAGGCAAGCCTGAGCGGTTGCTTCTTCCATTTTCTATTTGGGAAACTGAGGCTCAGAGACCTGATGGAACACTAGGCATTCACCGTTGCGATCTGTTCTTCCCAAACATAGCATTGTTTCCGCCTTTAAAACATAAAAGAGTGTGGGAATTGAAGGCACCCATTCCCATCCTTCTGAAAACTAGCCTCAGCTGCTGTGTGAGTGTGGGCTGTAGACTGTCATAGGCTGTCTGAAGCCCCCTAGGTCTCCATTCATGGGACTTTTGTCTTTGACCGGTAGGATCTCCTCTTGTTTACATACCTCTGAGTCATAACCTGAGAAAAGCATTAACACTACCCTTCCATAGATAGGCTATCTATCATTTAGCACACTGGGAACTTTAGGCCTGTATCTGACACCACTGCCACACAAATTTAAGTAAATTGGGTAGCTCATGGATCCTAGCACATTTGGGAAAGTCAGTGAGTTTGTACACTTCCCCCCTGACCTGACCCTCACCTGCAAGCCCAGAGCTGTAAGGTAGAGGCAACAAAACCAATAAGCAAACCTGAAAGACAAAGTAACGGGTTTTAGAATATAATGGAAATCAGAGTGATCGTTTAAACTAAAAAAAGAAATGCCATTTGGGGATGGAGAAAATATCAAGTTAGAGGTGCAACAGAATCAGGAACCACTGAAGCAAACTGAAGTGGGGAGGAAGTCTGTGTCAGGCTCACAGTGGCAGAGGTAACTCGATGTTGGTAAACACTCCATGCCTAGAATTCACTCCCCTCATTTTGATATGTGGAGCTGCCTCTTAGCTTTGATTAGGCTTCCCAAGTGGTATGATTACATGAAGAAAACACACTATTAAGGCCAATGAGGCAGTCTGCTACAGCTGAATGTATTTCTCATCATAATTTAGCACACTGGAGTCTGACTTTGTAGACCAATATGGTTTTCAGATCAGGGTTATTAAACTACCTGGAGGAAACCTGCCAGGGCAGCTGAGTATCCTTCCCCATGAAACACCCTGCTCGCTCGTTCTCCGGATACACAGAACACTTATCAAAGCAAGTTTTATCATATTTCTACTTACAGTGTGAGCTTCTCTAGAGTAAAGATTGCATCTCTTACCCTGGCTACAAAAAGACAACCTGCAGAAGGCTTAAAATTACTTGATCTGAGAGTTAAGGGAGAGTTTCAGGCAGTGCACTGTCTGGAAAAGGAGAGGAGTAGCCCCCTAATTCATTTAGTCACTCATCATTTAGGAACCAAGAGGGATTAGATAATAACTCAAGGTGCTACTAAGAGCTCTAAGAGCCACTAAAAATGGAAGAGTCATGTAGATACATAAAGCATTATACAGCTTTAGAAAGGCATAAAATGAAGTGCGAAAATGAAGTGCTATGTTAGTACATCTCCTCAGAAAGATCCTTACAATCCAATTTAGGCATCTAGTTACTCCTATAGCCATTTTCCTCTGACACTTTTAAATATTAAATGAACCTGTTTACTAGTTTGCCTATTTTGCCTCACAAGAATGTAAATACCACAATAGCATGGACCTTATATGTTGAGCTCAGTGGTATAGCCCTAGGGCCCAGAACAGTACTTGGCAAATAGTATGCGCTCAGTAAACATTTATCAAGAACTTAGAAGATATCGGTAATGCTTGAATGACTGAAAAAACTCCAAGCCAATATTAACATGTCTTTCTCAACTTAACTCCCATTAACACAAAGGAATATTGAATATCAAACCAGGTTAACAGCCTTCACAGACAATAGCTCCGATGAGCAAAAAGTACATAGAAACTTGCATTTCTTGAAACTGAGCATCAGGAAACTTGGAACAACCTACTGCTAAGTCCAACTAAAAAGCAGCAGAAATATAAAAATCATTTTCTTAAAAGCATAAAAAGTCTAACTAGGTAATGAGGAATTACTGAGCCAAAATCTGTATCAGCAAACCGAGAGCATAGAACTCAAAGCTGTTCTTTCCCTTAAGGCATTTATCAATCTGGAAGAAACCTGAGATGCATTTTTAGAAGGCTCACAGACTGAAGAGGACAAAAATCAAAACCTAAGGCCAATTAAAGGTGGGAACTCCCACCACCGATACCTTAAAGCTAGGATTTAAATATTACACTTTCGAGATACGGGTAAAACAAAAACCAGTCCTCACATGGACCTGATACCTAGTTGTGTGCCATCTGGATGATCTAGGGAGCCTCCAGCCTTTGATCTGAATTAAGGAGGTTTGGTAATATTCTCAGGCACAGGCAGCAAGAAATCTTTCCTAGAGGTAGATACCTCATCCTTGTCTTCTTTATTTCTACAAATAACTTTCCAAATATACTCACAGATAACTTGGCAAAAAAAGAGACAAGATACTATCAACAACAATCAGGAAAAACAAGAGACCCATGAAGTCTTCAGGTCTTGAAATTTTAGAAAAAGTTATCACACCTTCCCTCCGATGAAGTGCCAATTATTTGAAAGTATGATAAACTTGCTCCTTTCTTCCTGAAGGTGTCCACCTTATCCAAGGTCCAGTTTCACTGTAGCTACAGAAGACTGTAGGACTCTCTGAAGCTATTTTAAAGGACTTGCCAGGGCAGCAGAGAAGTCATCATTCCTTATGAACAAGTCAATTATCTTTAAACTCATGTTATCTTCTAGTAAAAACAAAATCCTCATAAACCACTTTTGTATCTAGAATTTCAAATAGGCCAAAGATGAAATAACTAGTCATTGTAAACCTCCCCCACCTCCAATAGTATGCTGTCTCCATCCTTGAATTACTGCTCTATAAAGTTCATTAGCTTTTTTTGTAACTCACTTTGGCAATCAGTTTTCACTTGTAAGCAGTGGATTTTTTCATCATACCTCAATCTGAGGTGTAACTCCCCTAGGAATGATAAATTAGGGCATGTGTCCACCAATCCATGATGTATCGAGTTGACCTTGTTTGTGGGCTTTTTCAAATGCATATCAATGCTACAGTGCAGGGGCCCACAAACTTTTCTGTAAAGGGCCAAAGAGTATTTTCAACTCTGTGGCCCATACTGTCTCTGTCTCTGGAGTCGCAGTGTGAAAGCAGCCACATGCAAACTCACAGGTGTGGCAATGTTCAAATAAAACTTTATCTACAAAAACAGGCCACGGTTTGCTGATCTCTGATATAGTGAATAACAAAATACAGATTCACTGAAAGGCATCACTGAATTCATTTGTCATTCATCTTTTATTGTTTTCTTAGTCAAACACTTAAAAGTACAAATTCTAATAAGAGAATGTGAAACTTTGATGTTAACAAGGGGCTCTTCATACTGGAAAGCTGAGAATCACTGCTGTTGAAAGGAAGATTTAGGTCTTCCGAGCTAATGAAGACCACTGAAAGAAACCTACTGTAACATTTTCAAGTGTATATTCTATATCCCAAGCTGTGCTAAATACTTTCTTTACATGGACTATTTAATATAATCTTGCATTTGAAAACAAAACCCAATGATGTACATACAATTACCCTTGTTTTACAGATAAGGAAACTATGGCTCAGAAAGTTCAGTAACTTGGCAAGGCTCACATAGCTAGTTAATGGCAGAGCAGACTAAACCCTAGGGCTACAAACATCTGAAGGCCATTCCTCTAACTACAATATTAGCCAAGCAATCCTTCCTGGTGGGCAGAGAAGACTCACCATGTATGGAAGTTGGCCCAAATTCTTACATCTCCTAACGTTCTTCTCCTTGGGGAGTTCCTAACAATTGTCGCTGCCTCAGAACTTTGGAACTCTGCTGTACCCTCTGACCTAGGCAGGGACACTTACTCCTTTCATTCCCCTTAAGCTTAAGACTTTGCTAACGATAACAAATAAAATTAAAATGATAAAAAAAATTAACTAGCTCACTAGATACGGCTGTTCTGTGACCACAGGTTCTGGTCCATCCTTATAGATCTCTGTAGGTTTACTTCTTCCCTGGGCATTGACCTATCTCCATGGGACAAAGACACTTCTCTACCTGGGAATGTCCCTAAATTCAAGTCCTAGAAATCAAGATCTAGCAGGAAATCCTTTTGCTAGTCTTTAAGACCTACCTTACAGGTCCCCATAAGACAGGTCCTAGGAAATGTCTTAAAACAGTAAACATGTCTAGTCCCTTTGGAGGAGATCCTAAAACCCAGCCATGGTGGTGTGGTTTTATCCTGTGGTCCAAAGGGCAATCATATCATAATACAACAGCCTGTTATTTTCCTTATAGAAACTCACTCTACTTTCCAGCCAGAAGCCACTTAGGAGGAATGGGGCCGACACTTGCAATGGTGAGTGGGCATATCACACTGATTTGTAACAAGACTTCAGTCTGGCAGCATTCCCTATTCCTGGTCCATCCTTCAGGACTTCCGATGGCCCCTACAGCTGCCCTTCCTTTGTTCTGGTGCGACTATCCCACTGTAAGGCCACTCCCATTACTGCCACTGCTATGCTCCTCTTCCAGGAACAAGTGACTACCCTGGAAAGAGAAGAGATGAAACAAACTGCCCTTCAAATATGAAGTATAATAATTCTTTAATTATCAAAAGATCACTGCTGGGATTTAAAAAAAAGTCTATAACTCTTAAATGTAGTGTTGAACAAGGGAAATGGATATAGCAGCCTCACATAAATTATTTTAATAAACATTATCACAGTATTAAGAAGGCAAGGTAAACAAATAGCTTAAGTATTTTATTTGTTTGCAACTAAGCTTGTTAACACTATATAATGAAAATGTACAAAGAATAACGTTGCAGTTTTTGGTTAGATTTAAGTCAAAGACATTCATTAATAAGGAATCTTCCAATGTGAATATCCCAGAAATTTCTCTAAGCCATCTCATCAGAACTGTCACCGAATGTTACCTTACTTTGGAAGGTATTGGCATACATTTGAATTAAACTCAGAATTTTTCAAAATAAGCCCTAATTAAAAAAAAAAAAAACTATTCTATATTCGAACTAAAACAATTTTAATAGAACTTTCCTTTCCAGAAACAATAAATGAAACAAGGCATTTTGTAAAATGTGGTCCTGAACAAGTCACAGTAAAAAATAAATGTGTACTTAACTTCCACCTCCTCAAAACAGAGGCTACTTTCTGTTCCTCAGCCTTACAAACAAGGTGAAGAACAGTCTGTAAGCAACTTCGGGTAGGGGGTTGCCAAAACAAAGATCAAGCAGTTGAACATGGACACCTGTCAAAAGAATTTGGGGGAAGCTGACCAAAGGATCCAAATCTACCTGTGATAACTGATACAAAGGTGAAGTGGCTCCTCCCAAGTAGCAGTGCCATCGGGGCCTGGCCCAGCCCCGTGCTCAACCTATGGTATGCTCCCAAGCAAACCCAGATGTTCCTGATTCTGGGGAGACTTTTTCTTTTCAGAGGTTCAGTGTCCAGGGGAGCTCTTTGTGTGAATGAGGTGAGCACAGACTCCATGTGGGTATTTTAAGGCTTGGAGTCAAAGTATTTTTCTAACACGGCTAGGCAGAGTCCATGTGTCAAACGGCCCGTCTCCGGTTGGTTCTAATTCCTCACCACACATCTGTAGACCTAGGACCACAGAGCTATGTCATCATAATCACATCTAATGTCCATCCTAACGTATGATTCATATTCTGTGCCTGGAAACAGTCCCTGTATTTAACAGTAATACCTACACATAAAACAACCCACTGTTACAACTTATATGGTCACAAAACATTAATGATCTTCTGTAGATCAAGCAAATGTTTTTAACCATAATTGTCGTGCATCAAATTCACAGCCAGGATCCCCAAGATCAAAAAAATTTGCACAATACAAATAATAACTTAAAATACACATACACACATATACACACACTCTCACACACACTTCTTACAGAACTGTGCTTGGGGAAACTCCATTTGTTGAGTGCCACTGAGGGCATATTTTGCTAAACTGCTGCTCCAGGTATTGTTTGGAAAATCTATCACAGTAGGGCACAGCTGTTTATTGGATGAGCAGAAAAGAAAGATATGCTTGTGGCAACCAGAAAGTTTTAAGGTCTTTCAAGTTGTATAAAATGGACCTGCAGAAACATTTAAGTGTTCTCAGGATGCAAAGTTGGAGTTGAAATGTGATATCAAACCAGTTGCAAAAAGTGTACAGCAGCCGTCTCTTGAGGTCAAACCTGGTACCCAGATATGCAAGAAAGCTTCAGGACACATCTATAAAGTAGGATTAAAAACAAAAGAGTGTAAGAATAGTAAAAAATACAATGTTGTGCTTTTTAAATATTAACTAATGGTAAATGTGATAAACTGCATGAAGGATATGGGTCATCACTTAAATTCTCAAGAATTTAAGAAACCCGGCTCGGTTGTTTTGTTTAGATATACAGCTATTTATAGATTATGTGTTGAGTAACTAGTAGTTGCAAGATGTTTAGAATTAAGAAATTCTGACCATACACTTGATAAGTTACCCTAAAAAAATCAACTTCCATAAATTAACAGTTGAAACTACTTTTCCAGGGGAAGGCCACGTAATAAACAAATTGGCACTGGAGTCAGACTACCTAGGTTTCAACCCTGGCCGAACCACTAGCTTGGACAAATTATTAACTTCTTTGAGTGCTATCTTTACCTGTAAAATAGTTCCTCCCTCATAGGGTTATTGTGGATGAAATTAAACTTCGTGAGGATTTAAACAGCTCAGCACAGTGCTGTGCATGTAAGTATTCTTTACATGCTAGCTATTATTTTACTTCATAGGGTCTTTTTGCTCTTAGGATATAAGGTACTCAGTTTCAAATTTTTGCTCTTGGGAGTTGGGAAATTCAAAGAAAAACTTGGTAATACTTACAGCTTGTGGGCCTTGTCCCATATCGTCGCATAATCTGATCATGTGTGAATTTCACAAAAGATTCATATTGTTCTGTGAGGGGAAAGACATTATATACTATCCCCAGTAACTCACCCCAGTTTTTCAAGAATCAAGTGTCAGGATTACATCTAGCTTCTCTGTTTAATTCATCCATTCTCAGGCCCTCCTTACAATAGTCACGCTGATATCTGTTACTTCCTCTTAGATCCCAGAGCCAAACCTTGGCTCTTAGATTTGGTTATCGATCATCTATAACATAACATTTTCCTAATAATCTCGCCCCTGCCATAACTCTATTTCCTACTAATGGCTTTCCAAGATACAGACAGATATGCTCACTACCACAGACGAGCAAATTTTAGGACATCGCCTATATGACCTGAAGCTTGAAGCTCTTTTCTGCACTTTATCATGCTATAAATTTCAACACACATACTGAGTGAAAGAGGTGGGATGACTATAAATCTAAGAGAAAATACCTAATTTTAGAGTTCCACAGAAGAACCTTCCTAAAGGGAAACTCATTAGACAGAAGGTTGTCTGACATCTGTGAACACAAAAGTGACTTAGAGCCAGCTGGTGTGAACAATTTGGGAGGGGGGTAGGAGAGGGGAATGACATACCAGTTTCTTCTTATAATACACATTGGTATATTAAAAGATCAAAAAAGGTCTACTATAAAGAAATCCATTTAACTCTGTTGTTAAACCAACAGTTCCCACTTTCAAGCAGACTTATTAACATTCTGAGGAACCATGTGGTGGGTCACCAGATTAGGAAACAAGTTACCAGAAGACGATGTTGCCTCAAACCTCTCTCTGCTCATAACACTGTTCTCTTTCACTAAACAGGTACTTCTTACTCCTGATTTAGATCCCTTCCTTTCACAAAAGGCTCTAACTTGTGGCCATCATTAATCACTCCCTTTGTTCTTTCCTGACCTGTGCTTTTCAAACTTTAATGTACCTCCAAATCACAGGGTGCCTGACTTCCCACATCCACAAAGTGACTCCCACCAGGAAGTCTGATTATGTTGGGACACTGGACTATAAACCACGCTTCCCAACCACCTGTTGAGGGTCAGCACTATCCTAATCACCAGTCTACAGGCCAGCTAGCCCAAATAACCCACTCGATGCCTTTGTTCATATGGGAAATTCTCAACAGAAAAGCCTGGTTTATCTTATTTTAGAAATGTAAATGAAAAGTCCTCCCATATAAAATATAAATAAAATGTTTAGAACCATCAAGGGAAGTAACTTAATACAACTCATTAAACCTTCTTGCAGAATGTCCTACTCCTATATTACCATTTACTTAACTGGGGTTAATACTCACTGAACCTCATTAACAATGGCATAGCCACTGCCTCAGCCTACCTGCTAGTTTGGTATTGAGGATTTGCTCATACTCCTCTCGAATTTTATCTTCATAATCTTTTAAGAGACGCTCACATATTATGCCAACTTGTCGGAGAGTAAAGGTGGGCTGGTCTTTCTTCATCCAGGAGGAACCTGGCCAAAAGACAAATCTAGTTTACATAATAAATTTTAGTTCTAAGGTTCTAACATCCTACAAATAGTCCTAAGATATAAAAAATGTTTAGAAATATGATATTTTCCACTACTTTACATGGAATATTTTCAGAAATTTTTCTGAGTTTCTGACATTTGTTTTACAAAGCAAGGACAAAAGTAAGTTAAGTAGGAGGAACAACATGTATCCAGGTATACTAGCTGATCTGCATAGAGAAAAATAGTTCTGATGCCACAACAACCTGAGCTCAGATTCAGGGAACATTTGGTAAAGGACAAGAAGAAAAAGTTTAAAGATGACATAAAGCCTCAATTCTGGATTAGGGAAAGTAGAGTCACAGCACAAGAACTACCCAGATGCTTTGAGAACATCTAGATCTATGTTTAACCAAGGTGGTGCATCATAATTGTCTGTGAAATTAACAACAAAAAGATACACATTCTGATTTAATTCTGGGGTAGGGCTTGGGCATATTTTAAGTTCCACAGGTGATTCTGATAGGAAAAGGTTAGAATTTTGACATTTAGGAGACCAAGTGACTTGCCTAATATGAAAAACTGTTAGCAAAGTCATTGAAGTATGAATGGAGACACTAAGGCACTACAAATCTCATCCTTGATCCCTTTTTGAATCTAGGCTGAGAAGAGTGAAATGTTCATAAGATAGTAAGTAGGAACCAAATTATCCACTGGAATGCCAGAAAACATGAAAATCGACTTCCTGTTCATGATAAAGGCAGCAGCTCCATTGATAGCCCAGTTCTGAGTTGTTCTTTAAAGCTTAGCCTGGAACCTGTTTCTTTGATTCTTAGTGTCTAAACTATTTAATACCCTGAAATTTATTTTTTGCTTAAATCAAATTTTTTTCTCTACAAATGAAACTTGACCAAAACATCTAGCCAATTATTATTTGTAATTGCTTCTCTACCCATAACATATTCTATTACTTCAAAATTATATTATTAAAATCTTGAGAGAAAATGGAGACTTGCTAACTATTACCACTGAAAGGTCTGTCATTCGTGTATGTGCAAGAGCAGTTAGAAAGGATGTTGTTCCACAGTCAAAACCTTTGGGTTATAAGACAATTTTAAAAATTATTTGAGTCTACGGCCATGCCACTCTGAACGTGCCCAATCTCATCTGATCTCAGAAGCTAAGTAGGGTCTGGCCTGGTTAGTACTTGGATGGGAAACCACCTAGGAATAGCAGGTGCTGTAGGCATTGAAACAAACAAACAAACAAACAAACAAACAAACGAAATTTGTAATAGCAATAAAAATATCAAGGAATACATTTAACATAAGGAGAAAAGTATGCATGTTATTAAAACACCTTTTAGAAGTCCTAAGTACATGTAGAGTTTTACCAGAGATGATAATGGTTAAAAATTCTATATTGCTGTTATGTTAGAGACAATATTCAATGCTTTATATACACCAGTTCGTATAATCATATGAGGTAGACAGTATTATTATTCTAATTCACACATGACAACAGAGGCACAGAGAGATTAAATGACTTTCTTTTTGCTATCTAGCTAGTAGATGGGGTTCTAGAATTCAAATATTAAAAATTATTTGAGTCTACGGCCATGCCACTCTGAACGTGCCCAATCTCATCTGATCTCGGAAGCCAAGCAGGGTCACGCCTGGTTAGTACTTGGGTGGGAAAGCACCTAGGAATACCAGGTGCTCTAGGCATAAAATTAAATCAATCAATCAATCGATCAATATTTAATTTGGTGAAATTCACATAAAATTAACTATTTAAGTGACGAATTTGATGGCATTTAGTATAGTCACAATGTTGTACAACCACCACCTCTATCTAGTTTCCAAACATTTCTACTATTCCAAAGTAACACCCTTTAACAATGAAGCAGTTTCTCCCCCATTTCCCTCTTCCCCTAGCTCCTGGCCAATCCCAATTTGTGTTCTACAAAGAGACAATTTTTAATCAAGGTAATTTTAATTCTTAGAACTAATAAGAAGTGGAATACTTTGTGAGCAAATAAACTCCTCTACTGTTAAAGGAGACAGAGTTCACCACTTCTGGAGATGTTCAAGCAATGTTTGTCGACTCTTTGCAGGATATGGCAGGCAAGACTGGTGGCTAAACTATATGACCATGAAGATTCACTCCAACCCCAAGATTCTATTTTTGAGCACATCCTCTCTAACCATTTGTCAATGATATACAGCAATGCAGTCACACAGCTTTCTTCGATGACATAAATGTACTATAGTTGTGCTAATACAACAGCTACATGTAGCTACTAGGCACCTGAAATGTGGCTACTACGCACCTGAAATGTGGCTACTACATCTGAGAAACAATGTTAAAATTTTATTAAATTTTAATTAATTTAAAATGAAACAACCACATGTGGCTAGTGGCTATGGTATCAGATGCTGCAATTATAGAGGGTACTGTTGCATTGGGTGGATGGAAGCCCAATCAAATCAATCTAAGGTCTTTTCCAATTTCATGACTCTATGGTTTTAAAGTATTTATTAGTAGTAATACAATACATACACTTTACAAATTTTATTACTTTAGACAAAATCAATTCTAGATTAGAAAATCATTTTAATATCATTTACAAACCTTAAATGCGTTGTGCAAACTAAAGTGTGCTTACCTGGAGAACTAGGTGCTGTGAGTGCAGAGGAGTGAGGCTGACTTTCTGAAGTACAAGCTTCATTTTGATTAAGAACAACTTCTAAATGTCTCCACCTCTGATAACGACTATATTCTTGTTTTATATTCTGAAAAATTTGCTCTAAATAAAAAAGAAACAAATCTGAGCATTCACTTTGTCATTTCTTCAAACTTCTTATCCCTCCCATGTTATAAATATTAACAAGAAAAATGTTTATACTGAATAAAGCACTCCACCTAGAACCCGCAAAGTGTGCCCTCTTATTGTTGCTATTTCAGCAATACAGAGAATAGCAGCTATTTTGGCATAAGCTACTCAGACAGTTCCCTTTGCTTGTTTCCTGTAACAACGAAGACCAGATCTGCTGTTTGCTATAGGATTAACTAGAACAACTTACAAGAGGAAAAAAAAACCCTTCAACCTAAGAGGGAGCTGTTTTTTTTTTTATCTCCTTTAAGTTGCACAATTTCACAAACTGGAGCATTAGAGGTGAGTCTCTTACCACCTAAGACCTTCTAACAGTGAAGCTCTCATCTTGTTTGGGACTCAAGATCTTTAGAGAAGAGGAAAGTAGAAATTACTATGTTCACAGACAGGGGAAGCCCTGAGATTTGTTGCTTGGAATTGATGATCTGTACTTACAAATTTTCTGATCTTGTAAGAGGCAATATTTGGTAGGATTCAGATTACTATTCTGAGTGAAGGTAATCACAAACCAAATTTAACATTATTAAAAGGAGTCCAGGATACACAAATCACTAACCACTTTGAAGTACACTCCTAGAGACAACAAAGAATCTGGAAGAATATAGTTTTCAAGTTTTGCAATTTTGTGGCAGAATATATATTCACTTTCCAGATATTAAAGCCTCCTTATCAAACAATAGCCAGAAAAATTGATCAGCCCCTCAACTCACATTATTCTAATTTATATTTTGCTATAGCCATATTTTTTTTTAATGGGGGAAGTGTTAACAATGCTATTTTGCTTCTTCCCAGCTGTGTAACTATGACCTTGGGAAGTCATTCAGACTCTTAGGCTAGTTCTGCAATATAAATGTTAAATGCCTGTCCAATAAAGTTGTGAGAATCAAAATCAAAGATATTAATAATTCCATGAGTGATGGTACAGCCCAGGAACTGACATGAACTCACGGTTGCTCCATTTATCGCTAAATTCTGTAACGCCCAGCCTAAACACTGGAACAAAATAGTAGAAGTGAAGCTTTCTTTTAATACTATGAAGTTCATATTTTAGATCCTTGACTTTATGAAGTCTTTGTTTCATCTTTAAAATGTATTATTCTCCAAGTATATACTTGCCAGATACGATACAAGATTGTAAGGAACTGCAAAGACTTGAAACAAGAAAGGACAAGTATGAGGACAATTCTCGTGAGAACAGGCCTTTGATAAACCTCTAACTTGTCTCCTGTATGGCAAAGTGAACAAATGTAAAGATACAAATTTGAGGCTGGTAGAAGGACTAGGAAGTCCAAGAATCTAAACATGGTATGCACAGAGAAAAATAAGGAAGCAGAGGTGATTTTCTTTTCAAGGCCACATAAAATAAGAAAAGGCATTTTCTTCTTAACACTGAATAATTTTAATCTTTGCCTCCCATTATTATGAGGTTGTGCTTCCAAGTTATATCAGACTAAACCCATTATTATTCCAGTTCCATCTCCCACTACAACCCAGTTGCATTAAACTAACCTGAATTTGTGGGTATTCTGGCCTTTGCTCAAGCAGTTTTGCTTTCCTTGTAATGGGGAGCCACAACATTAAGACCCAGCTAAAATGCTACCTCAATCTGCAAGTTATTCCCCAACCCTCAGGTCACGAGCAATTAATTGCTTTGCATCTAGACTCACTCCATGTTTACAGACATATCCATGAAGTCAGCAAGCCTCTTGTATGCTTGGTATCCATCTCACTCATTTAAGCAATAAAATACTTAATTTTATAGGCCTTTTCCACAAAAAGACACATATCATTTTTTTTAAATTAAGTTTTAAAACATAGTTTTTTGACCATTTCTGAGAGAACTTAAGAACCCCTGAGGTAACAACTAGGATGTTACAAAGTGAAGTCACTGATTTTTAAATTCACTTTTCTATTAGTTGGCTTTATTCTTTCTATTTGTATAGCAACTAATATTTCCTACCCCATTCTTCCTTTTTTAATCCAGAGGCATCCTTTTCTTAAGCCAAAGCATCGAATAATGAATTGTTCATACTTTCTTTCATGACAGAACCATATTCCAATAAGCATTAAGAAACAAATATTTTAAATAAAATATTTTAACATAAAAATGTCCAAGAAGTTAGTTTGCATAACCTATGCAAAGATTAAATTTTAAGATTAATTAAAAATCTAGTGACCCCATTATAGATAGCACTCTGCCATATTCAGGTTTCCATATACATTCAACAATCATTTATTATTTGCTGTAATGTGAACTGTAACAGAATTAGCCTAGAGGGTGGTATTGGAAGAAATAAAACATTTACATAATATCCATCGAGGTAGATAGGGCAAGTATTAATTTTATTTGCAGAAGAGAGATCCAGAAAAATTATGTGGCTATCTTTGGGTATCGGTAGGAGTAGTGGAAGAAAAAAAACAACAACAAAACATCACTTTAACTGGGCATCTATCTACACCCCCTGCTTTTGAAGGGCTCTTTACAAAGAACTTCTGCAAACATTCTCATTCAGTACATAAGGCTTTTTGCAACACTAGGTGGTTGTGGAATTTAAAGTCGATCAGAGTTCCTCAGGGAGCTGGGTTAGTCAAGTAAGAGATGGGAGACTTAAGGAAATAGAAGGGGAACATGATGGAAGGCCAGGATACAGACAGCCAAGAGGGTCTGGGGGAAAAGGGCAAAGGCAGAGTTTGGAAAATGTATAAAAGACTGATTAGGTAAGATATGGTTATAGTTGATAAAGCTTTTCAATGTCAGCATAAAGAAGAGGTGAACATGAGTAAGGATAGTGTCTAAGAGAGCTTGGCTGAGAACTGCAGGAATCTTGGTTGGAGAGGATGAGGGCCTGAAAACTGCATTGTGGATACAGGAGGAAATAAAGCCTAAAAACACTGGTAACCGAAAAGGGGTGAGAAAAGAATGATTTTAAGGCAACCCAAAGTTTTGCTAATGCTTGAAAAATAGAAAAAAAACACACAAAGAAATGCCTTGCTAAAGTCCAGTTTTGAGACTCCCCCCATTTCCGGGAGACCTTTAAAACTTCTAAATATTAATTCTGATGCGCTTTCTCCGCAACTCCTGCACAATGGTTAGGGTTTTTTTCCTCCTTTTTTTACTTTATTGTCACACAAGCCCTCCCCTTTTCTTGGCCAATTTGGAATCCCTTATTGAAGGCGAGTCTCTCTGCTACGGATTGTTGAATTCTTGCTTCCGGAACCTCTGTATGTTTAAGGATACTCAAATTCTAGCTAACGACCTACCGATTTCAAGCCATATATGGTACAAGACAATAGCCATACAATAAAAGAACATGGCCAGTCCCTTAGAATTAGGATGAAATCGGATTCCATGACTTCTGCGGCGGCCTCTGGTCCCTAAAGACTTCTAGAAATCAGGTCCCCCTATTGCTACAGTAGAGTGCTAAAGAGCACACGCTCGGGCTCATTTCTAGTAATCAGCCCCCAACCCCCATCCTCAAGGCCGGATTCGTGAGTGGAATCCAATTTTCCACTGCCCACTGGATTTGCAGGGCGCCTCGTGCAGGCCTAGGCAGCAGAGGCAGGGGGGCTAGGGGAACCGGGAGGGCCCCAAGCGGTCAGAGATATTCCCATCTTCTTGCTGCCGACCCCTCTAGGCTCTCCAGCTCCAGGAAAACCGAAAACCGACACTGTGGCCCCACTACCCCTCCCGGATGTCTCCCATCCCCGGAAGCGACCAGGCCCAGCGGCACCCCAGTTCCCTTTTCTCAGGGCAAAGAAGGGGTCTGTGGGTGAATTAGACTAGCGTCCATAACCCTCCTCCCACCCCCAAATGCCAGGGCCTGGCTGCCTGCCAAGCCCGCAGCTTCGGTTACCCGGAGTTGGAAGGCGCCGCTCGCTGCCGGGCGGGGCGGGCTGCTGTTGAGCCGGCGGTGGGGTCTGCATCTGGAGCGGCGGCGGCTCAGCGTCCGGGGGCCTGAGGCCCGGAGTGGGGCCGGGCAGAGGGGCGCAGCGCCGCCGCTTCGGGGAGCCCGGGCTCAGCAGCGCCGCCTCGAACTCCATGGGCCGCTTCAATGTCGCCCCACACGCCATGCCGCTGACCGGCCGGGGACTAAGAGCGGCCGCGGTTGTAACTGCGGCCCAAGATACAGCTCCTCGGAGGAGATCGCAAGCTAAGCCGGCTCCAATGGCGCCTCCAGCACCCGGCAGCGGCGCTGACCCCGCCTCCTGTGACGTCACGGACTTGGCCACCACCCGGTAGAGGGAGGAAAGCCGGAAGAGGGCCGCTCCGGGTGGTCCATTAGCAACGGTCCAGCCCACGGCAACCCCTCCTAAAGAAATGGAACGGCCTAGGCGGAGAGCTTGGTCACTAAGCAACCTGGGGAAGGCCCCCACCCCCGCCTCCGCCCCTCCCAGGGTCCCATCCCCCCCACTCCTTCCCGAGCCGTCGCTCCGGGGTGGCCCCTTAGGTTTTCGCACCTGCGCGGCACGGGCATGGGGGAGGGGAAAGCTCGGAAGGGCCTGTTGAGAGCCCGCGGGAGTCAGTGTCCTCAGGTCCAGTAACCTCCTCTTATCTAGTTCTAGTCCTCGAGATAAAGGAGAGGGTGATTCTAAAAGGTCCTCAAGGGCATTCCCCTAATTCCTGGGAAGTCTTCACTTGAACATAACCCGAGATCTGAGGATGGACTTTAGGAAGTACACCAATCTCGTGAGATTGTGTGCAATATTGTGTGTGTGTGTGTGCGTGCGTGCGTGCGTGTATTTTAGGATAGATGACCAATACCTTCATCAGCTCATGAGAGGGGTCTGTTACTGAAAAAAGTTAAAACAAACAGAAAACACCAACTACTTTAAACCATCCAAGAATGGTGTCAGAGTGTTAACTTCAGCTGATAGCTGATAAGCCAGTCTCTTCGTCTGACCTGGCAGCTCAGCTGCTTCCTCAGTTTTTTCCGAATTCTCGACAGCAATGCCACTGTAAAGTGATTTTGTTATTGAAGAAAGACACATAACAGGAGGGTTCTGCTTTCAGAAACTGTGCTTGTATGATTATTGAGGAGCAGATCCAACGCTTCCAACAAATCTTGAAAGGGATCTGCGATCCAAAAAAAAGTTAAAACCTTTTCATAACTATTCGCATACATTAAATAATGATGACTGCTGGGATCTGTGTGCTTCAACATATATCTGGGATTTTCAAGAACAATCTAAATTTCAGATACTCTCTTCTCACAGGTGATATGCTGGATCAATGTGCCCCAATATTTGAGTTGGAGAATATGGACATACTGTCTCAGTCCCATTCTTTGTCCCTTTCTGTTGCTTTTCTCTAGGCCCTCCCCAGTTTCTCCAAAGTTTATAAAGATGCAAACATAGGTCAAGGGTTTTGTTTTGTTTGCATTTATGTTTGACAAATAGCAGAAGTAATTCTAAAATGCTTATACATAACAGATGAAAAATTTATTTTATCTCTTTTCCATAAGGACATAAAGAAGTTTACAATAGGCTAGAAAACTAGAAATAGAACCTTAGGGCCAAAGAAAAAGATTATAATTATCTTTTAATTATGATTATCTGGGATTGCACATGATTGAATTTGAAATTTAGTTCTGAGCTTCCTGACTGCCAGGGTAAAAATGAAAACAGTACATGTTGAATAGATTTTGTCATCTGAAAGGAATCAGTTCATCAGAGGAGACAGATCATAGGTGTTTTTGTTTTTGTTTTTTTTCCCCATAGCACTAAATTCTAAGGTAGTTTCTTATATGACTTTATTAGGAACCAGTGAATGACATAACAAAGCAGTCAAGAAGATTTGAACAACAAATGCAAAAGCAAAATTCATACAGGTATTTCTTGTTATGTCCAATAAAAGCCAAGGGCATAAAAAGCAACCTAGTGATGGTTATTTCTTTTTGAGGGGCTTGTCTAATGTGGTCTGAAGAAATTGCTTCCTTGTGGTCTAAACTGGTTCAAAGTTAGAGCTTAGAAGGTTTAAAAGTTTGTCCCTTGGGTCATCATTCTAAATAGCACTTCTAGCTAGGGTTTTGCTAAGTGCTTTGATAGTCACACTTTTCTCTGTGATCTTTTAAAACCCTGACCATGCCTTGTAATATTAGTGTTTTAAAACGGGAAGTTATAATTTGTTTACAAGTCTGTGCTTCATAACTAGAAATTCCTTGAAAATGATAATCAGGCTTCATTCTTTTGTGTTTCCCCAACCTCTGCACAGTGTTTGAATACCGTAGGGGTAGGCACAGAATAAATATTGGTTGAATGAATAAATGGTAATTATTTCAAGGTTGTTCTCTCTGTCCTTGAAACTGAGAGTTCACATTGCTGAATGAGGGTGGGTTCAGATGATTCAGAAACCAAACAAGTAGGTGGTATATCCTATTACGTTGCAGTTGACAGTAGCCCAACCAGAGAGATGTCCTTGAGAGAAGCAGATGGGCTGCTCTGACAGCCACTCAGTGTGGTGTCTCTTTAGGAGGTCACCACAGTTCAGATCTGCTTTACTTTGTGTATCCAGACACTTGACTAGTCATATACACAAGCCATGTGCGCGTGCGCACACACACACGCACACGTTACTAAGTACCTTTCATGTGCCAGGCACTATACTATTAGGATTGAAGGTACAATGGTATGAAAAGAGACACAGTTCCTGCCCTCCTAGGGCTTCCACTCTGTTAGAGATGATACACATTAATCAAACAATCACACCAACAAATATACAATTAAAAACTGTGACAAGTACTATGAAGGGAAAAAACAAGGTATTTTGAGAGAGTACAATGGAAGTCTTACTCTGTCTTGGAGAGCAATGAAGACTTCTCTGAATAAGTCTGATTTGAGCCAGAGATTAACTAAGCAAAGAAGGGGTGGGAACATCCCAAGCAGAGAAGGCAGTGTATCTAAAGTCCAGTGATAGAAGAAACCATAACGTGTTTGAAGAATCAAAAGAAATTCTAAAGTGGCTGTGGTACAGAGCATGAATGCAGAGTCAGGGGAGAAAAAAAAATTGGTGAAGAGTGAGGAAGGCAGGAGCCTGAGCATTTAATGCCCTGCTGGCTGTCATGAGATTTTTTACCTTTCTTAAAAGCAGCGGGAACAAAAGAGCTTACATATGATCAGATTTACATTTGAGAAGATTCCTGAGAACAGGTTGGAGAGCTGGGGGTGGATAGAAGAGAACAGTAAAGAGGTTATTTTATCTGTCCAAATGCATGCCTTATAGTATTAGTTTTACAATATTACAAGGAAACTCCCACCTCCTGGCACACAAAGATTCTTTCATATTCCCACCTGTGGGTGTTTTTATGATAGTGTACCTTCTAGAGAGCTCAGCAATAGTTCTGAGACTATTTACTGGTGCCAGCAGTTGTCTATCCCAGGGGCATAGATGGCCTAAAGTTGGGGCTGAAAATGAAAGGAAAGAAGGATACCAATCTTCCAAAATCTTCCAGGATTCTTTGCCCAAAGTTTCTGAAGGAGTTGTCCATATTTGCTATCTCCTTTTGCAAACCTTCCACCCACCACCATCAACCCACACCCATCTGATTTCTGCCCCTCCCATGCTACTAAAACAGGTAAAGTCACCAACGATCTCCAAGCTGTGGAGGAAAGTGGACTGAGCAAAGTTTAGAAGATGAAATGAATAGATGTTGGTGAGTATTAGGTAAGGAGGTGAGAGAAATGGACTCAGGCATGACTCGTAGGCTTCTGGCTTTCTCAGTACCATTTTCTGAGAAAGTTTTCATCAGACAAAGACCAGACTTGAGAGGAATATATAAATGTGGTTTTGGATATTTTGAGTTATAGTTTCCTTTATAGTATCAGTTGGGATTCTCAAAGGTGTGTGTGTGTGTGTAAATACGGGTCTGAAATTCAAGAAAAGTCTGGATTGGAGAAACAAATTAGGAGAGCCATTGGTGTAGAAATGGTCACTGAAGTTGTAGGGGCAGTTGGGTTTGTCTAGGGTAGGAATTCTTAGCCTTTCTTGTGTGTGCTATAAACTCCTCTGAATATTTTTAAGTGTATTTAATAGAATACATACGATTACAAAGGTGATCAGTTATATATATATTTCTAGATAGTCTATCAATATCCATTGGCTATTCATTTGATACTGATAGGCTACCTGGAAATATGTAATATATATCTAGTGGATATTAGAATTTTAATAAATTATCTGGAACTGTATACTATAAAGGGTAAAAAAATGATTATTGAGATGGGAGAAACATACTGCAGGAAGGAAATTCCAATTATAGCCTGAAACAAAGAGTACCACATTGTCTGAGCAAAATCTAGGAACTGAGGTGGGAGTGAGGAGAAAAAAAGTGGTAAAAACCCATCTAAAGGTTTCATGTGACTGGAGAATGGGGAAATAAAAGTATTCTAAAAGATTTTATCTTGTTGAGAGAAGGAAAGGAAAGGAACTAGGTATCTCATAAGGCAAATAGTTAATGTATTTTTTAAAAATATAATAACAGTAGCAAAATATATGTGCAATAATAAGTATAGGGAAAGGAAAAAAATCATACGTAAAATGGAAAAGTGTGGTAGAACTCAAAAACTAACAAGAAAAAGGGAGAATAATGGTAATTTCATAAAACCAGAGGACTCAGCAAAGTAAAATAAATAATAAAATAGTATCAGCTGGCAGAACTAAAGTATTATCAATTGTCATTAAATGTAAATATACTGAACTATTTCATTGAAAGACAGAGGTTGTTAGATTGAGTTCAATATAAACCCAATTATGTACCGTATATTTGAAAAAAAGATTTCAAACACGGTGATAAAGAAAAGTTGAAAATAAAGGAGTGGGCAAGTCATATCCAACAAATGCTAAATAAAGGGAGAGTAGAAGAGGCAATGTTAACATCAGGAGGAACCTAAAAAATAGCACTAAATGGGGTAACATGATGTAATAATGAAAAATATAATTTAAGAAGTTTTAATAATCATAAACTAAACAATATGACAGCTAAATTTATACAGCAAAAACTATTAGAAAGGCAAAGAGAACTTAATAAGAATTCAATCACATTATGATTAAACAGATTTTGTACTGAATAATAGGCAAGGACATAGAGGAATTGAATAATCGAATAAACAAATTGGATTTACTAGTTATTTATGGAACCTAATGTCTACTGAATAAAGAATATCTTTTCTCCCGCCACCCCAAATCAACATGTGTCATTTACAAATTAGA